TGTGTGTGGAGGGAGGTGTGTGAGGGAGAGTATGTGTGTGTGGAGGGGAGGTGTGGGGAGGGAGAGGTGTGTGTGAGGGAGGGTGTGTGTGAGGGAGGGTGTGTGTGAGGGAGAGTATGTGTGTGTGAGGGAGGGTGTGTGTGAGGGAGAGTGGGAGGGTATGTGTGTGAGGGGTAACACGGCCAACACAGGACAGAGGGGGATGACCTCAGGGCAGTGTTTGTCAACACCTTCAATAGTGCATCAAGACTTTTTACATCAGCCTCGGGGATATATTCTGATCTGAAGGTATTATGAGAAAAACTTAATGACGAGTGACCTGAGACCTGGGACTGTGACCTCTGATCTGAGACTTTGACATCTGATCTGAGACTGTGATCTCTGATCTGAGACTGTGACGTCTGACTGGGCAGTTTGACCTCTGACTGGGTAGTTTGACCTCTGACTGGGGAGTTTGACCTTTGAGTAGGGAGTTTGACCTCTGACTGGGGAGTTTGACCTCTGACTGGGGAGTTTGACCTTTGAGTAGGGAGTTTGACCTCTGACTGGGGAGTTTGACCTTTGAGTAGGGAGTTTGACCTCTGACTGGGGAGTTTGACCTCTGACTGATCTCGACCAAACAAAGGGATATTTTAACACTAATATCATCAAAAATCTTGAAAACAAAACTCTACAAAGTCTGACAAGTCTAATGTTTGAAGCATCACAGTGCGACTTTATGTCATCAGTTGTGGACATCATAGTTCTCCAGGTAAGGTTAAAGATATTGGCCTCGTGTCTCGTAATAGATGTGGCGGGAAAATATAAACATTGTTATCCTCCTCAACCTTACCTCACCACCAGTAGTGTTTGGTCAATACTGTCCTAAGTCTGGCAACATAAATCTCTCTCAGTAACCAAACCTAGTGTGTAAACGTCCATAAACTATGATAATATGATTAAGTTATTATTAAGTCATTCTCATTTCCGTTCTCAGTTATTTCTTTAACTATTTACCACTAAAACATATATACATACACACGCTTCCTTAGATACATTCGGAAATCATATTCTCTAGCCCACCTGGGTCGGTGCTGGAGGTTAGTACAGTGTCCTTTCTGGACTGGGGGCCCCACTCTAACTATCACGAGACAACACACGCACGAACACACACAGTCATAGTACGGCTGTATAGATGATATTATGTATAAATATTGTATATGGCATTTTATACTCTGCATTATTTTCATTATATATGAACACGAAGATCTTCAGGGGTGAGTACAGACTGTACTCACCCCTGAAGATGTGAATTACACGAAAGCGCTTGGGAACTTCGTGTTTTCTTCTTTCCTTGTGGTTATCAGCATATACCTGGATCACGCGCACCTACAGTGATTTACTTGCATATATATATATATATATATATATATATATATATATATATATATATATATATATATATATATATATATATATATACATATATATATATATATATATATATATATATATATATATATATATATATATATATATATATATATATATATATATATATATATATATATATATATATATATATATATGTACTTTCCCTCACCCTAGCAAACTAGTTAGCATAGCATAACCAAACAGCCTCGCAAGGACCAATAGTTCTGCATATAATGTATGTGCACGCCCTAAAATGACCTAGTATATTTTACTAATGTCTCATTATCCATGGGTTTTCTTACAGTTTGGCTGTGAGCTTTCTATTCTGTCTACCTGCCAGTTTAACAGGACTGCTAACCATCCTCCCAGCAACTCATATGCCATCCCAGACCCACAGCCTATATGTATGGTGCAAGACCGCAGTCCAATGCATACAAGTCAGGCAGTCAAGCGTTGGTTTAAGGCGGACCCACAGATTATTCTTTTGGACTGGCCCCCTAAAAGAGCCGATTGTAATCCAATAGAAAATCTATGGGCGCATTTGGTTGTTGAATGGGATGTAGAGGAGAAAACGAGTGAGGCAGTGAGGAGACAGGCACGTAATGTGTGGGAGGGAATAAGGAGGAGGCCGAACATTTGCAGCAATTTGGTAGATTCCATGCCCACCAGATTGCATGAAGTTATAGCAGCAGATGGAGGTTGGACACGGTATTAACCTGTGGTCAAGAATTAAATCTCCGCCCACAAAGGTGCCTTGTAGGGGGTGGCGGGGCAGTTAGCTCTCTGGTGTAACTTCGTTGGGGCCACATAGACTTCGTTTCCTAACTCTCGGGAATTTGTCCAGGTATTTTACTATGTGATTTTACGTCACTTCGCATAAATATGCTTACAAAATCTATGCATTAATATGCATAACTCTTGGGAATCTGTCCAGACATTATATATATGTTATATACTACAATAATCACATAGATATGTTTACAATGTTTATGCATAATAAACGTGAAAAATATTTTTGGGGTTTCAATTAACCAATAGTCATGCCTACAAAACAATCTTGATGCTCTAAGTGCATGTATGTGTTAAATAACGAGTAACTGATCCACATAATTTTGGTAAATAAAGA